ATATATATATATAGCCTTTTTCCTCTCACTTTGCCTGTTTTTAAACCAATGTACTAATCATTCACACCGTATGGAATCAACCTAAGTGTCTGTTGATAAATGAATGAGTAAAGAAATTGCAGTATGTGCAGACTTGCATGCAGTGATATATTACTGAATCTCAAAAAAGGAAATCCTACCATCTGCAACAGCATGGATGGAACTGTATGCCACTCTACAGAGTGATGTAAGCCAGCCCCAGGAAGAGAGAAGCACACTGCATGATGTCATTTATGTGTGGGATCCAAAGAAGCCCAACTCATAGAAACAAAGCCTGGCGGGCCTGGGGGAAGAAGAAGGGAATGGGGAGGTGTGGGCCAAAGGGTATAAATTTCCAGCTGGACATGATATCTACTGCACAGCATAGCATTGATGGTCAGTAGTATTTATCTTATACTTGAAATTTGCTAAGAGCGTAAGTCTTAAGTATTCTCAACACATACAAACAAGTGTGAGGTGGCAGATATGTTCACTAGCTTAGTTGTGTAATGATTTTGTAATGAATTTGTGTATCAAATCATCACATCATACAGCTTAAATATCTTCAATTTGAATTTGACATGTATACCTCATATACACCTGCACACGGAAACAGATAGATGGACACACACACACACAGAGTCACCCCTCCCTATCCTCAAAGGATTGGTTCCAAGACACCTCAAGGCTACTAAACCCTCAAATGCTCAAGTCCTTTATATAAAATCGTGTAAATAACAATGACACCAAAAGTCATTAGTTTGATTAGTTCAAATGCAATATTTTTCCCCTGATATTTTCTCTCACTGGTGGGTTGAAAACTAGAGTGTAGAACCCATGGAGAGGAGGGGTGACTGTATACATACATAAAGGCTCCTATTTTTGGTTAAAACTGAAAGAATTTCAAGAAGCCTAGTAAAAATGCCAGAAGGCCCCTAGCTATTCAATTCAAGTCCATTCCCAGTGATCTCTGGTCCGAAGTCACTGGGAACTGGGAAGACAATGGGGGAAAGTGTAATTATCCCAGAGTAGTTAGAAGCATTTTTTGTTAACACATTGTTCACTTTTATTAACTGTGACCGTCTCAGCTCTGCATCTCCCTGAAGTCCCTCCTCCAGGGAGCCTGCAAAGTCCCACAAGGAAGCAGCTCTGTTCTGCCCTGCTCAAGAATGTCCTTGCCCTGCTTGTTTTTCCAAGTTAAGCAATCTTTTCTTGCTTATACTTGTCTTGAGGGGTCTGAAGGTGTAGCTGGCGAATTACAACTTTTCTGTACACCCTGAAATAATTCGTTTCATTATCAGGCTTCACTATTGCTGTGAGTAACTATGTCCCCCCCCCACTTTCTCTAGGAATCTCCTTTCATCAAACTACACGGAAACATACTATAATTCCTCTGGAAAGGCGGTCACCACAAGCCCACAAATCATGGTATATAAAGTCTACTAGATTCCTTCTTAATGGGAATGTGACCCGAAGACCTAGCTCAGTGCCCTTGCCTGGCCAATAGACAGGAAACGACATTTGTAGCCTTGAGATTTATTTTTCTGCAGTAATAACTCGTATTTTACTCAGCAAAATGGTTTTCCTTGGCAACCCTAGTAACCCTTTCCATATTTCAAGATAGTGGGCTTTTCTTTTAAATATTGTTTTCTTCAGAGTAACTTTCAGTAGCACAGAGAATTAAACACTTTGGAGTTCTGTGCCCGTTCTGATCACCTCCCTTAAACTCAAGTCTTTCTCCTCTGTGGCAACTGTAGGGTTTTGTGTGTTCCATAAATATGACCATCCTGGATCCCCCTACAGAATAAGCGCATGACAGGGTTCAGCCATGCTTTCATCTTGAAGGTCCTTTCTCTGCTGTATCCTTGTCAAACAATGATACAAGATTTTATACAGGCCCACATCACCTCATCTGTCCCCAGTTAGATCAGTCCTTCACGGAAGACCCACGTGAACAACATTATAGGTGAAAGGAGAGAATGGTGTGCAGATGCATTTCAACCTGGTGGAGATCTCTGGATGAATTAAGATATAAAAATGAACTATGAATAACCTTCCATTTGGGGAAAAAATCTAGAAGATCCTAGAAAAAAATTTAGTGAGCTGTTAGTCATTGAAGCTAAAGAATAAAAGCTTGGTGTCTGTGAAACAGTTTTTAATGCTTCAGTCTTATTTAAGCAACACCAATGTGTAATGAATGCTTTATGAGTATTTTTGGAGTATTAACTGGCATTAAATACTTTCACCTTAAAAAAACTTATATTTAAGTGCCTTCTTGCATCTTTTAAGTTGTCTCTTGTCTGGTAGAAAACAGCTTGAAAGAATACTAAGTCCCATTTCAAGACTTCAAATTCAGATTTATGGGAGAGCCTGAAAACCATGAATATTTCCTTCTACAAGATCCCTTTCCCTTCCCTTAGGATGATTGTTACTATCAAGGACGCATCATTAATGAAAAAGTTTCTGACGCTAGCATCAGTACATGTAGGGGCCTAAGGTAAGACTTTGTTAAGATTTCGTACGTGCCTGTGATAATGACGTGACTATGAATCTTAAGTATAATTAGTTCCATAATATCTGAGCATGAATTCTAAGTGTGGAAAATTTTTGATTTGAAAGACATAACCATTCTTCTTTGTACCGGCATATCACTTGCACATCTCGGTTGCTTTGAGAGGTGTTTTTATTTGTTTGATAGTTTTAAAAGTGCAGGCTCTTGAATCAAGGTATCAGAACCAGAATTACAATTAGGGAATGGAAGTTCCTTGTTACCCTCACCCCAACTTGAGTTTTTCCTGGCTTGTCTTATTCACACCTGTACCATCCATTTCTGTCTGTTAATGGCTTCCTGTGCATCTGTCCACAATTAGAATCACTTCTAATGCTCAGATTTGATTGTCTAATTTCCTTTCCCATATTTCCAGTTGGATACCATAAGGAATCTCGATGTTGATGTGCCCTAAGTCCAAATAATGATTATCTCAGAAATGTTTTCTGTTCTCGGAATCTCAGTCAATGGTACCATCAAATGATCACTTGCCCAATCCAGAAAGCTACTTCGTTGAGGACTTCTTGCAGCCTTCCATTAGCAATCCCTTCTCCAGACATATTGATGATATCTTCAAAATATTTCCAGAGAGTGTTCTGTTCTTTACATTCTCTCTCTACTGCACCATCCTGCCTCAACTCCAAGGCCCTGCATGCAGCTACTGCAAACAAACATTGCTATCTTCCAATTCTGTGTGCACTCAATCTAGTTTCCCTTTAAATGATCTTGTACTTCTTTCTTTGTCCCAATTATGTGTGTTGTTTACTGTATAATTATATAAACTCCTTGATTATTCACTGTATATCTGCTTTTCCCATTTGAGCTATGTCTATGAGGGAAGAGATCATGACTCTTTTTAAATTCTCTGTCTGTGGTCTTGGCTGTTGAATAGTTGACTGAGTCTTAGCTCAAGATTCAGCATAAAGAGTAGAAAAGGAATTAACCATATTGCTTTAGCTGTTATCTCTTTCAATCATGACATCGCCATATTAGCAGGTATCATCATATCAGCATCATAGGTGGAAAAACTAAGGCTAGCTGAATTAATTTAAATAATTTTTCCTTTCATAAATAATAAGCAACAGGTTTAGGATTTTAGCAAAAAATTATTTTTTGGTGTAAGATTTCAAAATTTCACACTTTTCTGTGCACATTTAAATTAGACACAGGATGAAAATTGGAAGAACACCAGGCTGAGACAGGAAATGTCCCTTTTATTGGCAGAAGTGACACGGCTGGCTATGTGATATTTCAATAGTCATTTCTCCTTAACAGGTCCTGTTTCTATATAGAGAGCAGAAGTTTAGACAATAGCATTTAAAGGCATCTCCAGCTGTATGTTTCACTGTAGTCTATCATTATTGGTGCTTGTAAACCTGTACCAGCCCAATGCAAGAGTATTTCGTCCAGAAGCTGACTTCTCGTTACCTCAGGGGCTACTTCAGTCAGGGAGACCGAAGGTATTTCATCGAGCCCTTGAGCTCTGCACAGCGCGATGAGCAGGAGCATGCGCTCTTCAGGGACGAGCCCCGCGACCGCCAGGCTGACCACAGCTGTGGGATGGACGACGTGCCATGGACGCACGGATCACGGGATGTGCTCTTGTCTGCCTCCAGGCGGCTGGTACGTACAGCTTTATGTATTATTATTTATCCTGTCTTTTACTTTTGCTGGGCTTCCAGGCCTAGCAGTGCAACTGACTTACAGTTTTAGTCATTGTTGAAATTAGTAGATTATAAAGACACAAATCATAAAACATTCCAGTATACGGATGGCTCATTTAACCAGTACTTACGGATTAACTATGTGCAAAAGTTAAAAAGATGTTAAAATGTAATACCTATCATTAGGAAAAGGCAAAAGTCACAATACTCTGCTGCCTATAACAAGTCACAAAAGTGTGCAACTATTATTATTTTCAGATGACATAGCCCACTAAGTTTATGTATGTATTCAACAAATCTCTCTTAAACGACTTCCACGGTAATAGCAAGTTAACAGAGAGCACAACAGACACAGGATAGGCCTACGGTAGCTTAGAATGTTCTTTCCTGTATGAAATTCTGCTCCCAGTCACAGAAAAGAAATGAATGCAGCCTTTTGTTTTAAACTCTTAAGTGTATATTAAAATGCCTTTGCCATTATTAATTTAGTTTCCTTCAGAATCTACTTCAAATCCAATCATCTCTTAAATATTCTCAGAATCTCTAAGTAATGCAAGAATTGTTCTGATGAAAACTTCGGGTGCATGCTGTAGGTTTGCATTCTACCAGCATTATCTAAGCACCCAGAAGCACCAGTCCTGGACACACCTTGGTTTAGGCCGCTTGTCTTTGTGTCTCAGTTCTTTGGGAATCATGTGGAGACGCCCTTGTGTTGGTGATGTGTTGTTTTGGCTTTCGCTCACCTCGCTGCTGTTCCTCTGCCTAAGCTCCTTTCTCTTGCCCCTCTCTGGCTCACCGATTGATACTAGTGGAGGAACCTAGAAAGCTCAGATCCGGCTCACTCTCTTTGCTTTATCTGAATTACTACATATATGTTTAGCCCCCCTAAAGATCAGAGAGTTATAAGTAACTACCTATTTAGCTACCATTTAAATTCTAATTATCACAGACAGAACACAGAAAAGCAGAACTCTCATTTTTTTTCTTTAATTTTATTGGTACATTTTAGGTACACAGTACAGGTATGTTCCTCACTGGGATCTTGCACCTTTACATGATGTGTCTCAGTTATTTTTTCCCCATCCTCCTGCCCTCTCTGTTCACGCCTCCGCCCTTCCCTATTTACAGAGACTTTGTTTCCATTTTTTCCTTTTCTCCTATTTTTTCTTTCCCCTTCTTTCCTTTCCCCTATCGCTCTTACTTTCCCCACTCCTTTAGACCCTTCCTTCTTATTTCATATTATCAGTTATGCATTTTGAACCTTAGTTACACTGTTAGCTTTTCACACCAGAAAAACTATTTGGTATTTACACACATGTGTCCTATTCATTTCACTTAAGAGGATGGCCACAACACACATCCACTTAGCTATAAACGTCTCTAGTTTCTCTTTCTTTATGGCTGACTAGTACTCCATTTTACAGAAAAGCCACATTTTCTTTCTCCAGTCTCCAGTAGATGGACACTTGGGCTGTTTCCAATTGCTATTGCAAACTCAGTTTTTGAGCCCCAGACAAAACTTGCCTCTCATTCTTCCTCCTCTGTTAATAAGACCATGGGTGACCCTTTGCTGGAGTTTGTATCTGGAAAGTACCCTTGACTCCCTCCTCCTTCGACCCCACTTGTAGGGCACCAATCAGGATGTGCCTCCGCCTCCACTTTCCTCTTTTCTGATGGCTCCAGGTGCCATCCCACAGTCACCATGGCAACAGCCTCCACCTACCCTTCCTCTCAGTACCACCTTCGAGAGTCCACTTAGCATAAAACAGGCTGGCTGATGGTTTATATTGTAAATCACGCCACATCCCTTTTCTCATTAAGGCCCTTCAATGATATTCTATTCCATTTAATAAAAGCCAAACCATTCATACACGTCAACCTCTCCAGTCTATATTTCACACATACTAAAAGTCCCTTCTGCTTTTTTTTCTGACAACAAATTCTTATCTATATTTCAAATATACCGATATGATTTGCCCTATAGTCTTTTCACTAATTTGTTTTCACTGCTGGAATATCTTTGCTTCTTTGGCTTCTCATTAAATTTTTTTACTAGTACTTCTTTTCCCTACGCAGTGATAACATTCATCACTGAGAATGTGTGCTTGTGTGTAGTTTTCCTCAGTTCCTTTTTCCCGTTCCCCTTCCCTTTTCAACCCTTCCTCCCTTCTCCATTTACAAAATCCGTTTCCATTTTTTCCCTTGAATTATCACTCTTTTCTCAAATCCTTTTTCCATTCCTCCCTTCCTCCTTCCATTTCTTGTTTGGCTACCTATTTTTTTTTTTTTATTAAAAGTCATCTTATAGGACAATTCCTTAAAGAAACTTTTGCTAACCATCTTTTCTGAAATAAAGACCTAATTGCACACAAATTCACATTACTCGCTGAATTCTCCATAATACTGATTACTTTCTGATAGACGCACACATCTGTCTCTTGTGAGCTCCCTAGGCAGGTGACCTAATCTGCTTCGCTGTGGTGAGCACTGACAGTGTATAGCAAGCATTAATAGATATTCTGTTTTAATGGAGAGTGGGAGGTAAATGTGTATCTTATTAGGTAATGCCTAAAAGTCAACTGTCAGGAATTTCTTTCTGGAATGGGAACTGAATAACCTAACAGGACTTCCATAAATGCACTCTAATAACCTGAACAGTTTATCTTTTAGGAGGAATACCGGATCTATTACTTTTCAACAAAACAATATGCTGTAAAAAGATTGGGGGTTTTCTTGGAAAGAAAAGAACAGAAAACAGGGAATCATGGAGCATGGGGAAGAGTTGCATCCTGCAAGAGGAGAGGAAAGCAGAGGACATACAGCAGTGCCTCTGGGAGTGTATATCAATCAGGAAAGAAACAAAAGCTACTTCACAATGAATCAAATAAATAAATAAACAAAATACACTGGAAATACATTGAAGTCGATGCTTCTCTATTTCATGGCCCAATAGTGGCAGAAGTCTACTCTTCATGAAATCTGGAGTCTGGTTCCAGCTCCTGCTAGTGAAAAAAATTCTTTAACTTGTTTGGTAAAACGTAACTGTCACACTAGAATATTACTCATGTCCCATCTAGCTCTAACGTCCTGAGCCTTGCCTGCAGATAATCCTGACCGTTGAGTATTAAACTGGTAATATTGTTTGCCCTTATTCACAGATACCATCTAACTTCTTATGCAAACACACATGCCAAATAACAGAAGGATTCTTTCAGAGAAAGATGTCATCGTAGTAACTGTCCTACTTATTTTTCAGAAGTTAGATGTTCGGAAGAACCAGAATCAAAGGAATTACATAGAGTATTATTTGGTCCTGGACAATGCTGAGGTAATTATATCAGATAACTATGTTCTTTAAAATCGGTCTCTACATAAATTTGTGATGTGATATAGTAAATGTCCATGCCAATTTTTAAAAATCATGAATATGACCTAGAGTTACAAATCATTTTGAACATATAAAATTTGATATTCACAATTAAGTGCTAAAATCACTTCTGTTCAGAAATAGACAGGTTATATGACATGCATACATTTAATTTTTGACACTATAATGCTCTTCCCTTGTGGTAAGTGCTCCAAATTTAATTTTCAATGAAGTTCTCTCATCAGATTGTCTTCCATAAAGCAGACACTTGTAAGTTAGACTTGATGCTCATCACAGAGTAATAAACATAAAAGTCAAGTGAATGGAACCTTTGGAAAAAGGTAAATTTTGGTGCTAGTCACTCTGAAAATATATTTGGAATAATTTCTAAGAGTTTTACACTGATCATATTCCTTAAGAGAGAAAACAAAATCTACATTTCCGAAGTGCCTCGACTTGGCTGAGAAATAAGGAGTCAATTTGGCTCCCACTTTTAATAATAATTATAATCACTGATAAGCTATATGTCAGTTTGCTTTTCTTACTTTCTAATTACATTAATTTCTATTAATGCCTATTTCTGTATTTTTTAGTATAAAAGGTATAATGAAGATCTAGATGAAATAAGAAAGAGGGTGTTTGAGATGGCCAATTACGTCAACATGGTACAATATATTTTATTAATTGACATTTTATTGGGTTTTTCTGTGCATATTTGTGATTCTGGGAAGGAAATCAAAGCCCCTGAGTCCCATGTTGCTGACCAGCTCTGCCAAGAGTGACCACAACTTCTGCTACTTAATTGAGTGCTTCTATCATATGATGGAGCTGTTTATGAAATGCTTCACTATTTTTAGTTTTGTTGGATGCTTTTGGTTTTGCTGAAATCTAAGAAAATGTTAAAAATCAAATCTCATAAAAAGCTGATCCAGAGAGGAAAACAAACACCAAGCTATGCTCATCTCTGACACTGTGGCATTTGTAATATGCACCACCTTGTTTAAGCTTCAAAAGAGCCCCAAAATATTACAAAAGCTTAACATATACCCACTGGATTTTAGCTATAGTACTTAAACAGTAACTTGCCTGAGGTCACACAGTTACAAAGTGATGGAGATAAGGTTTGAATATAGAGCTGCCAGATTTCAAAAGCCTGTTCAAGTTGTACAGTTGTTAATTATGTTCTGTAGATACGCTAGTCCAATTTATAGCAAAAGTGAACATATACATTAATTAAATATTATGCATTTATTAGTTATTGATCATATAGTTTGAAATGAACAACTCTCAGGAATGTCTTCATATCTGCAGATGATAGAAAAATAAATGTTTGACAGAGGGTAGAGCAAGGGCAGAATCCAGGTGGATTTGAGAAAAGGCAAGAAAGCCATTGTGGCTGGGATGGAGTAGGCCAGGGCAAGACCGAGAGGAGCGGAGAGGTGACAAGCAGGGGCAAGCAGGACCTGAGCACCCTTTGTAGTTCTCGGTGATGCTCTGTCTCACCCATGAGTGCAGAAGACACTGAAGAGCCTGAGCTATTATGCTTTTAAAAGGTTGTATTGTTCTTTATGCCAAAAATAAACTGCAAAGAATCAAAGGCAGAAAGGAGAAGGCCAGCAGGACAGTCGTGCCCCAGTTCGAGGCAAGAGAGAATGATGTCCTGGGAAAAGCGGCGATGGGGATTTGATGAGAAAAAGCCAAGCCATGGACAGAGTCAACAGGGTTTACAGGGTGGGTGGGAGATAGGAGGAGGTGGGAGAAGAGGGAGATGATATGAAGGACTTCAACCTCAGCAGATTCAAGAAAGACAAAGAATGGTAAGGAACGGATGGTGCCCGTGGAGGGAAGACCGAGATTCTGTTGACAGACAGCATTTGAGGTGTCTGTTACACCCCTAAGTGGAAACACTGACAGGTCGGGTATGAGAGATTGACATCCAAGGACAAGATCTGAGAGGAGTTACAAATTTACATCTTCAGCGCTTAGAGACAGCATGAGACAAGAGGTAGCAAAATGTAGCCTATGAGTCAACTGTGTCATCACTTTTAATAGCATTACATTTTACTGAAACACAGTCGCATTATTTAAAAGAAATATTTTATGTATAGATACTTCTGTGATACAGTGGTGAAGTAGTTGAAACAGAGGTCATCTAACCAACAAAGCCTACAATAGTATCTATTGGAAACTATGTGGAAAAAAATCTAAGCAACACTTTATAAGATCATTAAAAGACTGAATGAAAAGTAGATGAAATGCCTGAGAGTCTGGAGTGTGTCTTTGAATAGAGATCTTAACAAAGGAGAAACTGCTGCAGAGACTAAGAAGGAGACAAGCAGGTAGAGGGATGCAAAGGGAAGATCTTGTAACAAGGATCAGACAGGGAGAAGAGATGGTCAGTGACGTTAAATTCTCCTGAGAACTGAGGACTGCTGTTGGGTTTGACAAAATAAGGTTTATTTGCCCCTCAGACAAACCCCGTTTCTGTTGGGTACGAGAGTAAGTATGAGGCCAAGAAAGTGAGATTAGTAGAGTTAGAGATAGGAAATTCACCTCACAAGCACAAGGACCCGAGTTTGATTCCCGGAACAAAAAAAAAAAAAAAGAAATTCAGAAAACCTTTTCCAGACTGTTCTGCTGTAAAAGAGAGTGAAGAAATGAAGCACAAATTACACAAAAGAGTGGCATTAGGAGAACATCTCCTCCCCACAAGACCTTTGCTGGAGATCTTTAATTTATTAGTATATGTTTGTAATACTTAACTACTACTTCCGTTGTGGATAGTTGGTACATGTACGTGGCACATCTTAAACCTTTTTTGTGTCTCTGTCCCTTCCTCCCTTCCCTTTCCCTTGGTCTTCTGGTCCCATTCCCATTTAAAAAAAAAAAAATCTATCTCCCTGTGTTCTTTAATCTAGCTTTTTATTTTGCTCTATATTTATACTTCGGATTTCTCACATGAAAGAAGCCACATGGTATTTTAGATTCTCTGGTTGATTTATTTCTGTTAACATTATGTTTCCAAAGTGGCTTGTTCATCCTTTAGAGCAGAATAGTATTTTTTTATTTATAAACACCACGGTTTCCATTTGTCTACTGATGGACATCTAGGCTGCTTCCAAGATTTAGCTATTATGAATTGTGCAGCTGTAAACATGTTGATGCATGTTTCACTGTGATAGAATATCTTTAACTCTTTTGTGAACATGACTAGTAGGGGAATAATTAGGTCAAATGCAATTTCTAGTTTTAATTTTTTTTAGGAAGCTCCATATTGATTTTTATAATGGTTGTGCAAATTTACATTTTCACCAGCAATGGAGCAAGGTTTCATCCTTATCAGAGAGAGACGCATCAACATTTGTTATTGTTCCATTTCTTGATGATGATGATTTCCATTCTTTCTGGAGGAAGATGGCAACTCAGTGTTGCTTTAGTTTGAATTTCTCTAAGGAACACCAGTGTTGACCAATTTTTCATTTATGTGTGGGCCTTTTGTATTTTGTATTCTAAAAAGTGTCTATTCATTTCCATTGTCGATTTTTTGATTGGGGGTTTTATTTTGGGGCATCTAAAGTTTTGAATTCTTTATATACTCTAGGTATTAGTCTTCTGTCTGAGGTGTAGCTAGAAAAAAATTTCCATTGTGTAGTTTGTTTCTTCAATCTATGTACTGTCCCCTTGGTTGTGCAGAAGCATTTAGGTTGTTGTAATCTCACTATTATGTTATTTCTCGTGGACTTGGCGTTCTGTTCAGAAGTTCCTTGTCTATATCTATGACTTCATGAGTTTTACTGATTTTATCTTCCAGCAGGTTGTTTCTATTTTAGTACTTGGTTGTTGGATCCATTTTTAGTTTAGTTTAGTATGTTGTGAGAAATAACGTTTCTGGCTTCAATCTTCAGCGTGTGGATAACCAGTTTTCCAGGACCATTTGTTAAAGAGCCATCTTTTCCTCCAGCATGTGTTTAGGGCCCCTTTGTCAAAGATCAGGTGGCTGAATGTATCTGTGGTTCCTTTTGTGTCCTCTGTTTTGTTCCATTGGATCACTCTTCTGTTTTTGCACCACACATGCTGTTTTCGCACCCATACCATACTGTTTTCAGTCACTATATCTTTGTAATATAACTTCAAATCAGGATTGTGATGCCTCTCACTTTGCTCTTGTTGTCCAGGAATGTTTTTGCTATTCTGAGTCACTTCTGCTTCCTTATGAATTTTAGAAGTATTTTTTTCTCATTCTTGAGAAATGCTCTTGGTATTTTGATTGGGATTGCATTGAACCTGTACATCAGCTTTGGAAGTATGACCATTATGACAATATTGTTTCTGTCTAACAAGGACAGTGGATATGTTGTCATTTTCTGATATTCTCACCAATCTTTTTCAGAGTTCTATACTTTTCACCTCCTTGGTTAGGTTAATTCATAAGTATTTAATTTTTCTTGATGCTCTTGAGAATAGAATTATTTTCTTAATTTCTTTCTTAGTGAGAGCTCTATTGGTATATAGGAATGATATTGTTTTTTTTTTTAAGTTAATTTTCTGTCTTACTACATTACTGAATTTGGTTATTCTGAAAGCTTTTCAGTAGAATTTCTTGGGTCTTCTACGTAAAGAATCATGTCATCTGCACATAATGATAATTTGATTTCTTCATTCCTATGTGTATCCCTTTTGTTTCTTTCTCTTTCCTAAAACTCTGGCTAGTATTGCAACTACTGTACTTGACATCCTTGTGTTGTTCCTAATTTTAGAGTGGAAACTTTCAGTTTCTTCCCATGTAGTATAATGTTGGCTGTTGATTTGTCATGAATCAGATTGTCACTTTGAGCTAAGGTCCTTCTAGATGTATTTTCTTCAAGAATTATTTTTAAATATGAGTAGGTGTTGGATTTTGTCAAAGCTCTTTTTTCTGCATCTAATGATATGATTGTGTGAATTTTTTCTTGCTTGTTGATGTAGTGTTTTACATTTACTAATTTGTGTTTGTTGAAGCATCCTTGCCTCCCTGGGATGAAATCTACTTGGTCGTGATGTGTGCTCCTTTTGATGCTTTTTTGCACTCTATTTGCCAACATTTTATTGGGGATTTTTGCGTCTATGTTCATTAAGGTGATTGGCCTAAAATTTTCTTTTTTAGCTGGATCTTTGCTTGGTTTTGAAATCAGAGTGGTTCTGGCTCTTAGGAATGATTTTGGCAGTACTCCTTCACATTCAGTTTCACGAGAGAACTTGAGGAGTACTGTTATGGTAACCTCCCTGAAGGTCTTAGAGAGTTTACCAGTCGTTGGGTTTTTCGTAGTTCATAAGAATTTTATTACTCCACTAATTTTATTATTTGTTATTGGATTGCTTAGAATTTCTATTTATTTATTTTGGTTTAGTTTTACTAGTTTTTATGAGTCTGGGAATCTGTCCATTTCTTCTAGAACTTCAGTTTGTTGGAGCACAACTTTTCACAGCAGTTAGAAGTGATCTTCTGGATTTCAGTGAGGTCCACTGGGCTTTTGCCTTTTTCACTTCCTATTGCATTGATGTGAGTCTTTTCTTCTCTTGCTAAGTTTGTCTAAGGATTTATCTTTTTGTTCATCTTTCAAACATCTGGTGTTTTGATTCTTGTGTGTGTGTGTGTGTGTGTGTGTGTGTGTGTGTGTGTGTGTCTGTGTGTTTCAGTTTCTTTAGTTTCCACTCTGATCTTGGTTAGTGTCTGGACTGTTGTTTTTCCAGTGTTTTGAGGCTCTTCCCCGGGGTACTTATGTGAACTCGCTCTGTTTCTAATATGACTGCACTGATTCCTCTTGGGCTTTTGCTGTGTCCCACAGGTTTTGCTGTGATGTATTTGCATTGACTTTTGATCCAGGAATTGTTTAATTTTTGCCTTGAATCCTTCTGTAACCCCTTCAGTGACTGTCCAGAAGTGTGTTCCTAAGTTTCCAGGTAGTTAAAAAATCTTCTGTGGTTTCTTTCTTTCCCTTTTTTTCCTCTTCCTTTTTTGGTCTCTTTCAAAGGCACACTCCCATTCCTGAGGAGACTTAATCAGCACCCAATTGCCCGGGTCCTAGAATTATTACTTTAGGGATCACAGTTGCAAATGTGAATTTGGGCAGTGGCACACACACAGACCATAGCAACCACTTAGCTTATATTGAACTCATACTCATGGATGTAGGACATTTTCGTGTATCTTCACTTCTCTAATGCTTAAAGCAGCATTGAGACAGCATGACTGATTTTTTTATTAGTACATGTTCGTGAGACATAGAGAGTGCGCTTGTCTCAAGACATTGATACCTATGCACATCTCATCCTGGTCACTTGTGCCACCATCCACTGCCTTCTCTTACCTGTCCTTCATCCTCAGGCCCCCTTTGCATCCCTCTAGAGTTTACTTCCCCATCTCCTAACTTGTCTATTTCATTTTGCTCTTTAAATTATCTACATTTTGGATCTCTTGTATAAGAAAAACCATGTGACATTTAAATATTAAATCAAATATTTAAATTAAATGTTTACTAAATACCACAACAATAAGAATATTGACCAACATGCAAGTAAGTGTACTTCAAGTAAGGCCACAATAATGAACTGTTGACATAAAGTGATAATAGTTCTTGAGGCCAAGAAGCAGGAAAAATTTGTTTCCGTATGGTCTGCTCCACAAAAAGGAGTTTACAGCCTAAAAGTAGGGGAATCTATCTTACCCTGAGAATGGGGATTTTAGTGTTTGTCAAAAGATGGTAACTTCTGCATCCAAACATGTTTGGAGAGGTTTGCTGTGAATGTTTTAAGATATAGTGTATTGGATATTAGAAGATAATATCACCATTTAAGTTTTTGCTCTGCCGTGTATTCTTTTTGGACAGCTTTACAAAAAGTTCAATGCTCACGTGGCCTTAGTTGGGATAGAAATCTGGACTGATGATGATAAGATAAAGATAACTCCAAATATAAGTTCTACCCTGGAAAACTTTTCTAAATGGAGGGGGAGTAATCTCCTTCGAAGAAAGCATCATGATATTGCTCAGTTAATCACGTATGTATGGATTTGCCTCTTTGCACTTTTTGTGGTATCTGGCCTAGATTTTCAAAGCCTTAGAAAAGCAAGTTGTATCTCAGGACACAGATAAGAGGAGAGGGTTCATTCATAAGAAATTAAAGTTTTGACAGGCATTCCCAATATTCATATATTGAATATACTCTTACTTTTGATCCAAGTACTATTTATTTTATTAAGTGATACTGATGATTTGATAATAATTCATAGAAGAGATAGGATAAAAACACTAATTAAAGATATGACAAAAGAAACCCTTTTCCTTCATTTTCAAATTGAAACTCTTGTAATTTACCAGGCAAATTAACAAAAGTTACCAATTGGTAAGAATAGTACTTTCTAAATTTGCAGTATTCACTAAGAAGAGAAACTAAAATGCATAACTATAGAATGAGGAAAGATGTTGCTCTTATAAATGTATTACTAGTGAGAATGGATGCCACACAAATGTAGAAGTAAACATAACTTTATAATATAAATTTGAAAGAGAGTCCACATGTTTTAACTATTTAAATATGTGGCAATAAAAATACAAAACAACATCTGTACAGAGAGATATTGTGTAGAAAGAAGCATTTACTAGGACCAAAAACTTCTTCATCTTGGCAAGAGATACCTTTCAGAATGGAAAATATAACAATCATGAATCACATACAAAATATTAAATATGATTAATTCCAAGTGCTTGGATTTCCAGTGATAGAAAAGACACCATAGAAAAAATGCCTCATACAATATCAAAAACTGAAGAGAAACTTTAAACAGATTACAATATGATTGTCTCTTACCTCTCCATTTAGAATGCTGAGTGAGTTGTCTCTAGAGAATACAGTCCACCGTCACTAATTTTCCATCAATCCCTTTCCCTCTTATAGCAAAACAGACTTTTCTGGAGCAACAGTGGGCCTTGCTTTCCTGTCTTCGATGTGCACGCCGTATCATTCTGTTGGCGTCATTCAGGTGTGTTCACGTAATTGTCTTGTAATGTGTTTTGTTTTATTTTTTTCCTTTATCATCACAGAAAAGTTGGCCACATAAAATGAATTGCAATATGCTCCTGACTCTTTTATTTTCTGGAATATTGGAGCAGAGTGGTTATTATTCCTTTCAAAATGCTTGATACCATTTGCCAGAAAATACATGTAGGACTGGAATGTATTTTGTTAACTGTTTTGACTACAAAGTTGACTTCTTTAATAGACTATTAAGACTCTTCAGATTACTAGGCAGGTTTGTTTTTAAAGAAAGCTATCTAAATTGGCACACATTTATTGATAATATTATTATCCTATGAATGTGTAATTTGTGAGTAATGCCATCTCTCATTTATATTAATTTTGTGTGACTTTTTGTCATGATCTGTCTTTTTTTTTTTTTTTTTTTGTTTTTTTTTTTTTTTTTTTTTTTTTTTTTTGGTACCGGGGATAGAACTCGGGTCCTTGCATTTGTGAAGCAGGCGTCAGAACCATTTAGCTAAATCCCTGGCCCTGATCAGTCTTGATCTTCACCTATTTTATTGATCTTCACAAAGAAACAACTTTTTGTTTCATTGTTTCTATGGTTTTCCTTCTCTTAATTTTATCAATTTCTGCTCTTTTATTAATTACCCGCTTTCTTCTCTCTACACTATCCAAATTTTCTTCATGGTGCAATAATTTTCACACTTGCATACCTTCATTTCCATCCAAGGTATTTGGATATGTACGCTTACATTTTTTGTTAAATTCAAAATATTTTCTAATTTTTTGGGGTTTCCCTTCTTTGAATCATATACCATTTACACATGTGCTATAATCATTGCCATAATTAATTTTTATGTGTTGAAAGGTATTTTGTATAACTTTAATATGTTTAATTTTTGAGATTTGTTCTTCATCAGTGATTCATATACACCTGAAAAGAATGTGTCTTCTGCTATTTGTTGAATAGAGTGCTTCATAATAATTAATTCTTTCGAGTTAATTTTTAGTGTTGGTCAGCTCTTCTAAATTCTAATGAACAATGAGAGTACCGAAGTACCTAGGTATAATTATATGTTTTACAGTTTTTGTCTTTCTTTCTTTCTTTTTTTTAATTTTTATTTTGTTTTGTACTGGAGATCAAACTCGGGTCCTTGGGCTTGCAAGGCAGGCAGCGGCACCACTGAGCTAAATCCCTGGCCCTAGGTTTTCCATTCTTCTTTCAATTCTATAAGTTCTTTGCCTCACAAATTTTGGAGCTTTCTTGTTAGGCATATACAATTGTTAGCTATTCTTGAAGAAATAACCCTTTTACCACCATTCTGCCATCCTGATGTATCCGAACTCTTACTTGTTCCACAGTCTACTTTATCTAATGTTAATATAGTTACTGTAACATTTTTAGGTAATATTTGCATGATAAATCCTTTGCCTTATTTGTATTTATAACCTTGGTACATCTTTGTTTTTTGTTTTTATGTTTTTTTTTTATCTTTTTTTTGAGACAGGGTCTTACTATGTAGTTGAGACTGACCTGAAACTCACTATATAGCCCAGGCTGGTCTCGAACTCACAGCAATCCTCCTGCCTCAGCCTCCTGAGTGCTGGGATTACAGGCATGCACCACCACACTCAATGGTACATCTTTATATTTAGAGAAAGTTTCTGGTTGACAGTAGATAATTAAATATTTCTTTTTAATTTTATATGAAAAATTTTTTTTAATTTAGTACCTTGAGATCATTTACATGGAATATAATAAGTGACATTCTGGGGCTAAAATTATCATCTTGTCAGCTGTCTTCCATTCCTGCTAATCTTTATTTGATTTTTAAAAGATTAATTGAATGTTTTAATAGTAATTTATTTACCTCAATTTTTAGCTTTTTACCAATAACTTTATTTTATTTTGACATTTGCCAGGAGTTTATCTTTACGTGTCACTTAACTTCATTTTATCAACTTCCAAGCAACGTTTCATTTCTTTATAATGATTTAAATTTCTGCCTGATTTTATATTTTTTTCTTTCCAAACAAGCCTTTAAAAAATGTTTTGAGCAATTTCACTGGAGGAAAGAAATACTCTTTATGTGGTGCTGGAAAAACTGGCTTTCCACATGCCACAGACTAAAACTATAACCACGTCTCTAATCATGCCCTAAACTAAAATAAAAATGGATCAAAAATCTAAATGTTAAAACCGAAACCCTGAATTTGCTGAAAGAGGGAATAGTCAGAGCTCTTAAGGACATACACATAGGCAAAGACTCTATTAACAAAACCCAGATTGCATGGGAAATAATGCAAAGAATCAACAACTGGGATCTCATCCTATTAAAAAGTTTTTGCACTGCAAAAAAAAAAATCACCAACAGAGTGAAGAGACAACCCACAGAGAGGGAAAATTTTTAATAAGTAGTCCCTCAGATAAAGGATTAATATCTAGAAATATATAGAATTTTTAAAAAGCAGACCACCCAAATTTAAAGACCCAGTCCAAAAATGGGCATCTGAATGTATAGACACTTTTCAGATGAAGAAGCCAAATGGCAAATAAATATATGAAAAAATGTTTGATATCGCTGGTCATCTGAGAGAAGTGAGTTAAAGCAATTTTGGCCCACCTCATGCCTCAAAGAATGGCTGCTATCAAGAAATCAACCAACAATAAATGCTGGCAGGGTGGTGGGGGAAAAGGAACCCTGCTCCACTCCGGGTGCGAGTGTAGACTGGCGTAACCCCTGTGGAAATCAGTGTGGAGGCTCTTCAAAAAAATTAGGACTAGAGGTCCCATTTGACCCAGCTATTGCCCCGCTGGGTATCTTCCCAAAAGAATTAAAAGCATCCTACCATAGCAACATATGCTCACCCATGTTTATAGCGGCACAGTTTGTAGTAGCTAAATCTTGGAAACAGCCCAAATACCCATCAACTAATTAATGGATTAAAAAAAGCTGTGTTTTTTTAATACAATGGAATACTACTCAGCCATAAAGAAAAACAAATGAGACATGTATAGCTAAATGGATGCACCATGAGACTATACTCAAGTGAAATGAATCAAACATATGTATAAATATGGCATTGTCTTTCTGGTGTGAGAAACTGAAAGGCTAAATAAGGATCAAAACCCATAATAGATAATGTGAAGCATGAAGAAGTTGTTCAAAACTGTGAAAGGGAAGGGGGAAAACAAGAGAAAAGAGAAAATGGAAACAAATGAAAAATGGAAACAAAGCTTTTGTAAATAAGGAGGTGTGTAGAAGGGAGGCCAGTGGATTGGGAGAAAAATAGGAATCAAATATGCTATGCACAGGTACGAATTCCTTTTGATGAGTGTGAATGTTATGTATGCTTAAATTGTTCCAATAAAATGAATTGAAAAACATTTCCTGTAAGGGCCGGGGATGTAGCTCGGTGGCACTGCACCTGTCTGGCAAATGTGAGGCACTAAGTTCAATTCCTGGTACCCCCAAAATGTTTCCTGTAATAGAGTGAATTCTGTCAGTCTCATTTTTCTGAGATATTCTTGTCTAGCTTCCATTTAAAATGCATACTTCACAAACTCTTTGAATTATTGAAACTGCAATTTACAGTGGATGAAAAGGAAGTTATAATTGTTTATTTTCTCTTGGATTAGTACAGGAATACTGCTCTTTCTAGCTTTCTGAATCCTTAGTAGAAATGGAATCAATTATTTTTAGTAAATATATTATGAGTTTGGATTTTTGATAGGCTTCATGGGATAAACAGAAATTAAATATATATATCCTTTACTTTGGAAGATATTGCTATAAAATTGGAAGAGAAAATGGCCTGTTATATATTGAAAAGGGTATTCAACACCAAAAGAATCAGAGAGAGGGAGAGGGAGAGGGAGGGGGGAGGAAGAGAGAGAGAGAGAGAGAGAGAGAGAGAGAGAGAGAGAGAGAGAGAGAGAGAGCACTAATACCGAACTGGATCTTTCCGTGCTACTGGCTAACAGAAAGAATATGTATTTGTGAGAACACATCTTCTGAGTGATACTTCCAAGTGCTAACCAGAGACCCTCTTTCCACATTCTTACCCTTAGGACCACAGCAGCAATCATCTTAGAGTGGCAGGGACAATGGCCCACGAGATGGGTCACAATCTTGGCATGATTCATGACTCCTACAATTGCAAATGCCCGTCCACAGTCTGCGTGATGAATAAAACACTCAGGTAAGACTCTTTAGGTAAAAGCCACACATGCATTTGTTTTGATATATTTTGGGTTGTGCTATTCTTTAGGTCACCTTTTAAACTTCGCTCAAGTTCTAAAATTCATTAATTTAATAACTGAATTATTCACTGGCATATCTATATAACACTACCTTACCTTGGATCTATGTATAGTATTTTGTATTAACTAAGACTTGGCTTAAACACAGTGCCTCTTTGCTTCTGAGGCCACTCATCCTTTTATCTTCATCTGCAAGATGTTGCATCAAAAAAATTTGTATTTATCAAATTTCCATGAATTCAGAGGGATGGTGGTAGGGAACAGTTTCTTGATGAAACTTTAAATTCAAAACAGAACTTCTCACAGAAAGGTGAAAATAGTTTATGAAAAGAGGTAACATGTTCCTGTATTTCCCTAGATACTATTTCTAGGAAATCATATTTTTAAAAGATTTCACAGTCTCCTTTATATATTAATTTCCTCTTTTCTGTTCTTGTCACCCAGCCCTGTAAAGCCAAGCTTAACTTTCCCATGTCCCTTCACAATACAGCACATGTGTGCATGGCTGTCATATACCTGATCTCTCTCAGGTAGTGTCAAACTTTAGAACTCTTTTTTATTGGTGGGATGAAGACGCTGTTAGTTGAATCTACTATAAGAGAAAGTGAATTCTAAGATATATGAATAAATTATTTTGCTTCTTTTGGTAGCCCAGGGTGATATAAAACTGAATCTCACCTGGCTGAGCCAGCAGCATTTTTGTTTTAGTGAAACTGTTCTGGATATTACATTTTGAGATATGTACATATCTTCTTGTTGAGCTGGAGGTGTTTTGTAATGAGTCCAACTCAGATTAATTCAGGCATACAAGTGAGCTCATGATGTAGCACTTGATCTGTGCAACAGAACTGTTTTTCTTTTGGGAACAAGCTGTCGGTATAGCTACTCATTGTCAGATACTGGCCTCTGTGTGCCAAGAATGATAGTATTCTGTTTTCTTTTTCGTTGCTTTCACAGCTTTGATATACCCACGGATTTCAGTTCCTGTAGCCGTGCCAATTATGACAGGTTCCTTGAAGATAAATTATCAAGTTGCCTGTTTAATATCCCACTATCCACAGACATCATATCCACCCCATCCTGTGGGAACCAGTTAGTAGAAGTGGGAGAGGACTGTGACTGCGGGACCCCCGAGGTAGTACCAAAGCCTTTTCAAAATGATTTAGTTTGTTTTGCAGTTGTTAAGAAGATAAAGTATAAAAATATATGGCCCACTATAAAACTGCATATTTCTTATAATTTTGGATGTTCTCATTGGTAAGTATGTCTCAGGCTAGTCTTTCCAATATAGAAAGTGTATGCATTGCTTAATAATTTTCCTTAATTTGTCCCTCAGGATCTCTTCTTAGGCTTTTTTTTTAAAGCTACCCTTCACTACTTTGGGATTTGTGTCCTCATCCTTCCCATTCTAATCGGTGTCCCTGGAGGACTTTTCATGTGACTATTATGACTCGTTGAGTATCACTTTAGGCCAGCACTGTCCCAGGGCTGACAGAGGAGGACTAGAAGGTTTGTCCAGCCTCACAGAGCTGACCAGTGGAGATCTGGCATGTCCTGGACCGTTTCAGGATGCAGCAGCTCACAGTGCTGCTGTGATTCAGAAGCAGCCCTTCACTACCGCTTATTAACAATCCACGGGAGAAATGGGTCAATCCTCAGGGCTAGCTTTGCAGTCACTTCAAAAGAGGATTACAAATTAATTCACCCAACCGGCAAGCTTAACCTTTCTCAGTGCTTGCATTTGAACCGAATGCTCGACTTTTAACCGGAAAGAACACTCCAAGGGTACCATTCTTGTGTAGACACCTGGACAATTGCAAGGAAAATCATCCAAGGTCGGAGCTTTACCATCTCCTCACAAGCACAGGTTTCTGGTTTCTTGGAAATAAAGCAGAGAGACAGAACAAAATTCAATAGAATTGAATGTCAGACTTATATAAAGCAATACACTTTCAGCTTTTCAGTGTAAATTCTAGAGATTGATTTACTGCTGGATAGGTATATAACAAATGAGTTGACTCAATTATGTATTGGAACTCTTTAGATGCATTGAATTTAAAACTGCCCCTTTCCTTTCTTTCCCTCATATTTTAGCCAGAAGAATAGAATTTTCTTGAGTAATGATGTGGGATCTGGAGGAAAGATATTTTAAAAAGATATTTAAGTTTTAAAAAAGGTGTAAGGAGAATTCAGACAAATACAAACGACCAGTTGCTCCAGAGTCTTATTGAAATGTTAAATTTTTATTTATTTTTGTAATTATGACTCATTTTTAATTTTCCTAAAAATCATTTTAGATTCTACCAAAGAAATATCTGTGATTAAAGAGTGTTATGAATTGTGCTGAAATAGGACCAAAAAGTAATCCATGATACACATTTGCTTTTGGTATTTTTTAGGAATGTACCAACATTTGCTGTGATGCTAAAACATGTAAAATCAAAGCAGGTTTTCAATGTGCATCAGAAGAATGTTGTGAAAAATGCCAAGTAAGATTAATTCATTTTATCTTAATAGTTATAAACATTTTTATTCTAATATCTCAGTGACTATGAGATGACATAGTAAGTGGGTAAAGTAATGACACTTATTAAACACTTCCTGTGTGAGTTCTTTACATACAACTCCTATTAATCACTCAACAACACTGCAAGTTGGGTAGAATCTCATTTTACTTTTAGGGGGAAAGGAGAATCAGACAGAATGTGAACAAAATAATATGGCCACAATTTGTGACCAACTGGAATAATTCTGAAGTATATTATGCCAGGTGAAAATAAGCCAGGCTCAGAAAGGAAACATTGAAGGATCTCAGGTATATGAGCAATCTACGAATGTGCACATAGACACAGAGGGCCCAAAGTTGTAATTATACTCAATGAATTAAGTTAGAGATCTAATAGATAGCATGATGGCTCTAGATCATGATATGATATAATATACCTTGATAGTAGCCAAAAGTCCAAGAAGCGACCAGTGTAATATACATAGGATTTGGTACAAATATTTTGATTCACAGTTTCAGAGGGCTCAGTCTGGGGTGGGCTGGCTCCAAAGCAGAAACATAATTGTGTAAGGGTTCGACAGAGGAAACCCAGTGAACTCATGGCATGTGGGGATGTAGAAAATAGAGGGAGTGTCAGAGAGGAAGGGCCCAGGGCTGGATGTGTTCCCCAAGGCCACTCCCCCATAACCCATCCAGACACACCCAGAAGTCCTATGAGACTCAAAATAATCAGGTTGACAATCAAGATTAACCATCATATTATATGAAGAGATAAATATGGTAACTTGCTTGACTGTAGCAATCATTCCACCTTGTACAAACACATTAAGATATCATGTTTTATATCTCAAATATACACAATTAAGTTTTTAAAAAAATCAAAATAGTCACTGTCAAGTGGACATGCCTGCCTGTACAGCTAGGAAAGGACATGTTTCCTCAGATTTGCATGAATGTCAAAACTTATTTTACTAAAGTTTCTCTGAGAGAATAGGAGCAAGATTTGCAGTAACAGATTGCAGTGAAGTTAATATATCAAGCAAATATTTGGTTATTTTTCCTTCATGATGAAGCACTCCATAGGAAGAAGTGAGTTGAAAAGAAATATCTGAACTTATAATCAAAGGAGTTAAGATTAAGAAACTTAATGCTTGGGAAAGTCTTATGCCAATTGCAAATCTGGCACTTACAAAACTATCATCCTTAATACAGAAGATCCAGTAAAGCTCTGAAGTTGCAGATGTAAATCTTGAAAATCTTGACAAGGATGCTATCAACAAAGGGAGAAATAGCTTCCTTCTCTGCTTCTGAGATGTGGCTCGATTTTCTTCTGAAGTTTTCATCACTGAGTTTATGTGCACATTACACATTCACAATGTTGGTTGCTTAAAGACTTCAGGTGATGACCAACATCAACAGAAGTGATACAACAAGACAGCTTTAATGTATACAGTGCAGAAAGTTACCCTTCCAACTACCATGTCCAGAAAGGCCAAATAGAAAATGTGAAGGATTTGAATAAAGGTGTTTGGGGGAGGGATAAAAACCTTCTGTTTTTGTTTATCTGCAGTTGAAAAAGGCTGGAACCGTGTGCAGATCAGCAAAACATGAGTGTGACCTGCCAGAAATGTGTGATGGGAAATCTAGTCACTGCCCTGAGGACAGATTCAAAGTCAATGGCTTCCCTTGTCAAAACGGGAAAGGCTACTGCTTGTTGGGGAGGTGCCCCACACTGGCAGAGCAGTGCATGGATGTGTGGGGCCCAGGTAGGGGATGAGTTCTTCTGTGTACATTCAGGTGATAGTGTTTAATCATGGCCACCATTCTTAGAAATAGTGTCACTAATCAAAATCCTGGGTGAGTGCATTTAAAGACTACAAGGTTACAGTTGTTAGATTTAGCTAACAAAGATAAGAGTGGATCAGCTAAATTTTGATTTCAGAGGAGCAAAAAAACTTTTCTTTTAGCATGCATATGTCCCATGCGATACTTGAGGCACCACAAAAACATCTTTGTTTATTTTAAAAATTCAAGTTAAAAAGGATATATTGTGTACTGTCAACCCTAAGATTCTCTTCAGACAAACCCTTAGAAGTCTGTGCGTGTGTGTGTGTGTGTGTGTGTGTTCGCATACACTCATGCTCACACGTGTGCATAGTTGCGGCAGGCATGCTGGGGGGATGACCAGTAGCAAGGAAAGGGGGAGAAAAAGAGAAGGACCTAGAGAATGCAAAAGCACAGTGAGAATATAGGACAACTCTTACTTGGTCACTGTCCACTGGAATTTTAGAGACTTTCCTCTCAGATTCAAAGACAATAAAAAAAATTTTTTAAAGTGTGATTTAAGGACTGGGAATTTAGCTCAGTGGTTCCAGCACCTGCTTCACAAACATAAGGGCCTGAGTTCAATCCCAGGTACCAGAAAAAAAAAAAAAAGACAAAAACAAAAACAAAAAAACCAAAGTGTAATTTAAAGATCTTCAAAAATTTTAACCCCAATTAAATTTGTTAAATAGTTTGATTACAAAAGCAATTTTAGATTCTATATGTGAGATCACTGATGTGAAAAATCTAAACAAAATTGAACTTTCTGAGGTAGAGAGTAAATAAGTGGTTACTAGGGAGTGTGGGAAAGTGATAGTAAAGATTTAAAAATTCTGGGAAAAAAGAAAGGCAATTAAAAGAACAAATATTTGAACCTCCTGAATATTGTGTGTTGTGTCCAAATATTTAATTATCATAACATTTCCTACCATACTTTGAATTCCTGCTTGAACAGCTGAGGGAATATTTATTCAAGAAGGCAAAGAAATTAAAAATTCCTTAAAGTAAATGAAAAGGGTCATTACATAGCTCCTAAAAATATACCTAAACCAAGAGTGAGGAATGAAATTTTTAAAAATCCCTAACCCACAAAACACTCAGAAAAGAAGAAACACAGAGATCCTATTTAAAAAAATCTCTAAGTAAAACCCTCCGTGTCCAGCTGGAGGGGCCTGAGAGGATTCGAGGAGCAAAACTGAAACACTTTGTAACATGGTCGTGGGCTCGAATCCTAGCTGAAATCCTACTAACACTTTCTGGAGGTGGGTATGCTCAATAAAAGGTAGAAACAAAATTGGTTTTGCTGGATAACAACCTTATGCTTCCTTGGCTAACTTCTTTCTGTGACAGAAGCCTGGGGAAAGAAACCCATTAGCACAAAAATGAAGCTCTAAAGACGTTTAAAAAAACATCTGGCAAGAAAGCCTTCTCTTACCTGTCTAATTCAAGTCTATCATCTTCCTAGGACAGGGACTGTGTCTGTCCTTGTGGTCATGTTCCCACTACCCCTCAAAACAGTGCCTGACTTTAGTAAATGTTCAAAATTATCTATTGCACTCATGTTGAACACATTCATCTAATGGTAGAACTGGAAAGAGTTTTAAAATCATATATATAAAGGCATCCATAATAAAATACTAGAGAAATAGATTTGCCTAAAAATTTCAAATTTTACACTTCATAAAAGATCCCAAGTTTAAGTGAATCTGAAAACTTCTAGCGTATACAAATATACACAATAAAAAGTTACTTCTTTATACATCAAGTCGTTTCTACAAATCAGCTGTAATTCCAAGTGCTGAAAATGTAGTTAAGACAAATAGGCATAATGAAGAAATCCAAATGTCCAACAAAAATTAAAATCATTTTAACACAGCAACAGTATAATAAATATGAACAAAACAAATTAGTCTTCTATATTTGTGAGTTTGCCAAGATTTGTACCAGGTGTTAGTGTTGTGTTTTGGCACAGATGTGACCATGTAACTTCATACCTTGCTGGAAAGCACATGGATTAGCAGTCATCACAGGAAAATTGGAAAAACAGACACATATTGTAATCTTTACCCTATAGATTGTGCCCAGAGAAAATTAGTGACAACAGTTATTCTGAGACAGTTTTTTAAATGGTAGTGATTCTGGTTTTATCATCTCTGTCTGAGATTTAATATGAATTCCAGCTTTCTCTGTGGTAAAATGAGACTAATATAGGGGCAACCCATTTTCCAGTCCCCTTCTGTCTCTCTTAGACAGAAGCTTTCCTTCTCGTAATAAATTTTTCATACTCTTAGAAAAATGTAGGGTAATATAAACAAGGGCTAGGGCTGGGGATTTAGCTCAGTGGTTCCAGAGCCTGCCTTGCAAATACAAGGACCCGAGTTTGATCCCAGGTACAAGAAAAAAAAAAAAAAAAAAAAAAAAAAAAGAAACACAAAGAAAGAAAGAAAGAAATAGAAAGAAAGAAAGGTGGGCTAGAATTTTTCATCTACCTACTACTGAGCAGGCACCATTCTCAGCGGCTCACATGTGTTAACTCATATAATACTCACATCAACCCCACGAGGGAGGTTCAATAGTACAAAATCTTCAATAGTACAAATCTTCATTTTACAAATGAACCACCCCAGACACGATCTCACCGCCCTGGTGTACACGACTGCTCAGTCTTGCTCGAATCCTCAGCTCTTAACCACGTAGTTTTGGACCCATTTGCTAGAAATGTGAGGAAGATTTTATGAGAAATGCCGTATGTGATGCTGGTCATCGTTCGTGGCACAGGAGGAGTTAATAATGCAGTATGGCAGCACATATCCACCGGGTAGAAATGGAATAGCAATGTTCACAGGCTGTTGACGTTAGGACCAGCTTTTCTGCTTGAGTCTTCATACAGAGATGGATTTTTAGCTTTTCTTAGCTTAAGTTGTGCTTCCAGGTGCTTAGATGGTCATGGTCTAACAGTAGAAGAAGAGTTAGAATATTATTTCAAATTCTAGCCACGACTTCTGACAGCAAATTATTGCATCCGGTGTTGCCGAGAATGTTCAGTAGAATTACGTCAGAGCACAGGCTGTACATCTACAATCTGAAAATCTGAAATCCAGAATATTCCAAGGTCCAAAATTATTTTGAGAAGCAACGTGATTCATAATTGGAAAATGCCACACCTGACCCCAAGTACAGGAACAATAAAAATATGGTGTAAAGCTATTTTTAGGCTATATGTAAAAGGCATATTTGCAGCATAAATCAATTCCATGTTTAGACTCATACTATATCCATAAGATACCCCATTATGTATGAGCAAATATTTTAAAATTTAAAAATGAAAATTAAGTAGTTCTGTTCCTAGGTTTTTGCATAAGGGATACTCAATCTGTACTTTTAATGCTAATTTTTTGCAGCTTTAAATTTTTCTTTATCTCTTTTATTTGCAAATACACTCCTGTGTCTTGCCAGGAACCAAGGTCGCAGATAAATCATGTTACAAGAAGAATGAAGGTGGGTCAAAGTATGGATACTGTCACATGGAGAATGGCACCCACATTCCCTGCAAAGCAGAGTAAGTGTCTTGTTGTTGGAATCTTGCTGCTCCACAGATTGAGGCCACGGCACCTTACCAAGCTGATTTAACCCAGTGAAAGGGCATGTGAGTTTGGGCGTCATTCATCTGACACAGGCAGTGAGTGACCTGTGTACCACAGCTGGATGAGGTCCCAAGTTTGAAACACAACGGGGTGCACAACTTCCTTTAGATCTCTCACGGTGGGTGCTGCAGAGAGCACCGAGCACTGACACAAGGTAGAATGGGCATTTGGAATGCCACAGGCGACACTCAGTGGGCTGGGTGGAGATTTGCTCATCAATTTCCCAGGATTCCTTAGGCACCTTTTCCAATCTAGTATTTTTCATTATGAGGCCAAGGATAGAAATATTCATCTACCTGGAGGGATAATCAATAAAGAGAAAGTACAGTTTTATTGAGGTTTGCTGTGGAATTACATGAAGAAAATGTGCAGTGAGAGAAGAGATTGACAATTCATCAGAAGCATTTGTTTTATTTTTCTTATCGATATCCTCAAAAAAAACTTACAGAATGAAGTTGAGCTCCCCCCATTTTTTAAATTCACAGTTGTAAGATGAATTCAAAAATTCTAGTTACAAGAGACTACATTTGTAACTGTTTCAAATTTTATTTATTTATTTATTTTATTATAAACTGTATCTTTTTGGGTACATTTTAGATATACAATGCAGTTCCATTTATCATTGCTTTCTTATACCTTTACAGGACGTTATCTCCGTTCTTATTTTTCCCCATTCTCCTAATCTCCCTTCCCCCCTCCACCTTTCCCTAGTTACAAAGACTTTCTTTCCATTTTTTTCCTTCTCTCTTCCCTTTTTACCCTTCCCCTATGGCTCCCATTTGCCCAGTAAGTCTCAAATTTTACATACACAAAGCAATTCAAAGCAACAGGTTGAACAAGATTAGCATTTCTTAAAGTTTTGCTATTGAACACTAATGTTGCTTGATGGAAAATATTACTAAACAAACTATTGTTTGAAAGAAACATTTTCTCTTGGAGAGAAATCTGAGCCTAAATAAAAAATCCTTTTGTGTGATTTTTCTGTAATAGGAACTCAGGGCAGATTGGGAAGGGGGGGGTACTTACAGAAAAGGCACTACGTGGAGGCCAGAAGTGTAAATACAGCTTGTGGGGCAGATAGCAGGGTAGTTCTGCTTTTCACCTGCAGCCTGTGCACCTGCTACTGTCCTGAAAAACTATCCGTATGAACAATGAACAATTTCTGTTGCAAGGCACTCAAGGGTCTCATGCAGCCACAGACAGACCCTTTGTCACTTCCTTTCTTTAAAATTAATTTTATTTGTACATTTTAGATATGCAGTATAGTGACATTCATTATTGGGAATATGTACCTTTACATAATTTATCTTGGTTCTTATTTTTTCTCCATTCCCCTGCCCTCCCTTCAACCCCTCCATCACTCCCTACTTACAAAGATTTTGTTTCCATCTTTTTAATTTTCTCATATTAACTCCATTCCCTTCTTTGCTTTCCCCACCCCTCCTAGTTTCTCTTTCTCTTGCCCCTTTTCTTCCTATTTCACATTATCTGTTATACCTGTTAGTCCTTATTTACACTTTCATTTCCTCACTTCAGAGAAACTATTCAGTATTTACACCTGTGCATCCTATTTACTAGTCCTTCCCTGGAGTGAGAGAATGAAATTTCCAGTACCCGGGGAGGTTCTTGATGTTTTCTTTAAAAGATACAAGAAAAATACCCTCCAAAGTTTGGGGAAAATGTACAGCTTTTTCCACTTCTCATTTATACTTCTGCTGTCACCAAAGGCATCAGAAAAATCTGACTCCATGAGTCTTAGACACTTTCTCATTGTTGGGACAAAATATCATCAGCACCCATAACATACGGTGGGCAGGGATCACCTGTGCTCACAGTTGCGAGAGGTTTCCATCCATGGTCAGCTGTCTGCAAGGCAGAAACAGAGGACAACCGCTCATGTCAAGGCAGCTAGAAAGTAGAGAGAGAGAGAAGGGAGGAGCCAGGAAGGGAGACAGACCCTTCCAGTTACATCACCAGTGACCAGGCTCCTCTGACAGCCCCCACCTCCTACCAATGCATTTAATTTTGTTTTTTTTTGTTTTTTTTTGTATGGGGGATTGAACTCTGGTCCTTGTGCTTGAAAGGCAGGCCACCCAACCACTGAGCTAAATCCCCAGCCCCCAATGCATTTAGTTTTGATTGTATCCATGGACCAGTCCGCTGGTGGTTAGGCACCCCATAATCCAATCAGCTTCTAAAATCCTACATGTGAACACTTGAAGCTTTTGAGGGACACTGTAGGTTAAGCCATAACATCATCACTTTCAGAACACTTTTCTATAGCCCGTCTCTGAATTCTTCATCAAGCAATTGGATCCAACAGCTTTGTGTTTGACTTTGTGCACATTTATTTATTGGTGTTAGATGAGGGGCTTTACTGAGTTTGGAGCAGTTTAATCTGCAGCTGCAGGCAGCCAGTTTTGGTAATCACAGCTACTGAGTTCATGCATCAAGGGAGACTCGACATTGTAGAGGCCAAAGCAGAGTTGAGAGTGGTTTCATGGGTTAGAACTATTCTTCTGAATGTCCTAAAAACAAATTCACAGCTTTTCTTTCTTAAGTTATCCTGTGATGTCTGAAACCCAATCGTCATGTATATTCTGACTTCATAATGAATCTGACCTCCATTCCCAAGAGTTTGCTTGCTCTGTGAGGGCTTCTCAGCTCCAACTATCACACTGCAATCAGCAAAGAGGAGAAAGTGATGTGAAAGAGGACATGTTTCCTCATTTATGACAACCTTCTAGAATTTGACTTAAGATTTTTCTTTCCCATTGACTAGAATCTAGGTAACTGGCAAAATTTACTGGACAGGATCTGGAAAAAATCTTTGTTTGAGCAACAATATATTATGCTGATATTCTAGGACACTGCCATTGAAGGATAAGACAAAATGGATACAAAATACAAAATAGAAGTCTCTGCTATGAAAAGAAATATTATGTATTATGTACTGATAGCCTTGGAGCTGATTTGCATTTGAATAAATCTTCAGTAAATTCTGTTTTTTCCTCAGAGATATCATGTGTGGGAAGTTGTTCTGTCAAGGTGGCTCAGGTAATCTGCCTTGGAAAGGATTTACAATATCTTTCCTGATGTGTAAGCTATTTGATCCTGAAGACAAAAGTCAAGGCATAGACATGGTGGCCAATGGAACCAAGTGTGGGCATGACAAGGTGAGGTGAATTTGTGGCTTTCACTCAAAGTAGTAGCTTTTCATTTGGTTTTTGTTTTGCTGTTTCACTACTCAGTTCCTTACTTGTTGCTTTGATTTCCAATTATCGGGTTCATCATACCTTGACACAACAGGTAGGGATTTGCATATGGAACACTGTAAACAATGTGAGCCATGAAAATGGTAGAGAACCTCAAAAAAAAAAAAAAACAACAATAAACCAAGAATAAGGACTCTCATTAACATTTTCAAGCATTATGTTGAAATCTAGAAATGACTCTTAAAGATATGATTTCAGAAAAAGTATGATACATATATGTCTTCCCTTCCTAGACTACGTTTGGAAACTTACTAGAAATGCTTTCATATGGGATACTGGGCTTTAGTTAATGAGTTTGTACATCGATAAAAATATAATAACCCATGATCTGAAGCACCAGTACCACCTTATCAGGGATAACACATGAGCTTTGATACGAGGAGATTCAACTCCCATAGGAAATTAAAGTTACACTGCTGATTGCATCCAGATATCTGTAGGACTCAAGATCTACCCTGATTTTCTGTTCAAGGCAATCCTGAACATTCCATCTTGTTTGCATAATTTTCTTTGGCTATTTAAATGTAAATTCATTCACAAATGCATGTAAAATCACCTTTGTGGTTCAGTGTTTGTATTACCCATTACACGTTTTGGGGAGTATTTATAAAAATGGTCATGGCATTGGCATGGCCTCTGAGGCTGGGCACCAAGAATATAAATTTGGAAAAGTTTTAGTTCTGCTGATTTGAAATTAAAATCTTAATTCTAGACTGTAAGAAGTACTCACAGTATCTAGCTTCCCTTCCTCCTATGTTTCCTGAAATATGCACCTCATCAAGGCCAAGACGATTACATAAAATAAAAAGTCTTCACTGGGAACTTCCACTTTTCACATACTAATTCCTTTCTGATAGGTAATGAGGACATTTTGACGGCACCAAGATGTCATCACAGGACTTGGCATGAGTGTTACAGTGCTGGGCCATGCTGGAGGAGGAATGCTTGAACTAAGGCAGGATTTAGATATTCCTAGGTCCCCTGGCATCAGACTCATTTATTATCATTACTCATCTCTTATTATATCATCTATCTTTTTATCCCCTCTTACTATATCATTGCACCTGAGATACAGAGCAGTGTGAACTTTTAAAAAGTAGGTGACTGTTTAGATGAAATCCATTGTCCTTTTGGGACTGGCTGAACTACATGAGTACCATGAGCAACAGAGTTCATCTCCATTTTCTCTCCCATGCACCTGCCCTCACCTGCATTTACACAATAAAGAGGATCCTGCATCTCCCCCCCATAGTAATTACCTGCTGCCTGATATCCTCCTTACATACACCTCAACTTTCTCATCTTCAAACGAGCTCAGGTAATTTTAAAGGCTTGCATTTCCTTGTTCAACACTTAGTTGCATAGCATTACTTCTACCAGTCACACTGCTTCCCCTTTTTTTCTGCTGTTATAAATCCCCCCTAAATTGTCATCACCAGTATATAGACGGGTGTTGGTTTCACACGATTTCTTTTTTTGTATCTCCTACTGTACAGCAGTAACAATTCACACGTCGCATCAGTTAGAATGTGTTAGGCTGTGGAGGAAGAGAAAAAGCAACTACAATTCATTCTCACCATTGGGACATCCATCAGTTTGCACAATTCTAGGTTGAGAGGTGGAAGAATAATGCGTAGTTGATTCAGTGGTACAAAATCTCCATCAAGAACTTAGCTCCTTTTCTCCTTTTCTCCCACCATCTCCAGAAGTCTCCATGCTGGTTTAAACTGCTGCTTGAACTGCGGACCCCCTCCCGGCAGTAATGCAAAGGTGGAAAATGCAAGATTGTCTTGTACATATTCAGAGTGAAAGCAGTTTTTCTTTAAAGCTCTTTTCTGGCAGATTTGACATCACTTTTCATTGCCCCAAATTTTATCACCCACCCGTTCTTAAACCCATACCTGACAACGGACAAGGAATTTTGACAGCTGATCTGTATCCCTTAAAATTCACACTCAGAATTAGGGGAGGCCTCAGTTGGCTTAGGTAGCACATAAGGACCTGAAATATTAATAAATCAAATGTCTGAGACAAACAAAGCCTTCTACCAGGCATGTGAAACAATTACAATACGAACCACAGCTTCAGTACGTTTGGATGCATGATGTTGACATTTTCACACTAGCTTTTAACAGTAGAACACTTTATTTATTTGGATTATTTTATTTTTTTCATTGAGTTTATTGGTACTTGTTAAGTATACAGTACAGTTACACTCATCATTGGGATCTTGTATACTGCCAGCCTATCACCCACCGGAATCCTGTCTACCCCCAGCGCCAACAGGAGCCCTGACCCGAGAGGAGGGACTGCTACTCCTCCCCTCCACCCTCCCCTACTTACAGAGACTTTGTTTCCATGTTTTGCTCTTCTCATATTTTTTTTCTTTTCCCTTACTTCCTTTCCCTTACCCTTCCCACTTCCCCTACACCTTTAGCAGAACACTTTATTTAAGTGGAAGCATATGATGGAATACAAATTCACGAAATAAATAAAGCAGATCAGCTCTAGAGAAAGTGGGCAGCAAACTCCACTCCTGCAGCATCCTCCTAGTGTTCTGAGCAGCACTGTGTGCAATTGTGCTTGTCTGCATTCATTTTTCTGCTGGTATTTAATAAATACCTATTCTATGTTTTGGAGTTAATTGTCAAACCTCATACATTTTAGCAGTCCATAATTGGTAAGTGCACAATACCTGAGCACCACTCTAATTATAAGACAGAGAGGACAATGTTATTGACTTTATATCAATGACAGTTATTATAATATTGCACATGATGTTATGTCAGGATTTATTTTCTCTTATATTTTTATTTGGAAGTGACACCTGCCATTATGCGCAATGCTTAGCTCAGTGATAAATATCAAGTATGAAACTGAAACTGTAATTTAATGGAAAGACCCATTTGGACTGAAACAAAGGAAGCAAGTTTTCTTTAAGAGCACTTTCTAAACATTTTATTATCAAAATTACCAGATGTTATCTTCCTGTTTCAACCAAATATTGTGATTTACTGATGAAAAGGTGGATGTGATTACAATAATTGTGATGAACAATATAAGACCAAATTCTAAGCAGTCAAGAATTTGCAGATCTGAAGCCAATGACATTAACATCAACTTCCTGTGTGTTCTGTCCCTTTTAGGTGTGCATTAATGCAGAATGCGTGGACATGGACAGGATCTACATGTCAGCCAACTGTTCCTCTAAGTGCAAAGGACATGCTGTAAGTTTTGCAAACATGTGTACTTGTGCCTGCTGAATCTTAGGTCATTTTAAGTTAGCTCTGACAAAGCTGAAGCAGAGGCTTTAGCCTTCAGTGGTGACAGTCATCAATATTGCTTGCCTACTTGATGACAAGTATGTCAGGCATCTCTTCGGAGAGCCCATGATTTAAGCCCCAGGCGTCACTCATCCCTAGGTAGGCAGAGGAAGGCTGGTGGAGTAGCCTCATCCCTGGGTGATTGGACTTTACTCCGGCTGGTGGTCAGTGGGATGAGGAAACTCATGAGATCACGGTTCCTCCAGGTGTGTGACCACGAGCTCCAGTGTCAGTGCAAAGAAGGGTGGGCCCCTCCTGACTGCGAGGATTCCTCCACGGTCTTCCGTAGGTAACACTCCACACCCAGGGAGCATGGCTCTCCTCTTCCAAACACCTACTGTGCATCACGTACCATTTCTCTGCCTGCTTCCTCTTTCTAGCTGTTGATTCCACAGTACTAATTCCAAACATATTTCTAATAACTTTTAAATTATATTTCTACATTTCTAGGTTTTTTATTTTACACATAAAATCAAGCCTCAAATTTTACATTCATAATGTTCTTTTAATTTCCCAAAGTTTTGTGCTTTATGATTGTTCTATTTTCATATCAGCACTGACTTAATGGATAGATAAAATAAGCTCATCAAAATGTCTAGTGTGATTTAGATTACTGTTGTAGGTTTGACTCTGCTCTCTGCATTACCATTAGCTGTTTCAGGGTGGGCTGGCCTGTTTCTGCACTGTATGTGCATATATTCCAGCTGTCTGTGTGTCACTGTACTGTTTTTCTTCACAATGTAGGATTCTAGTTGAACGAGGGTTTGGGGTAATTTGCCTGAGCTCACATGGGTTTCTTTGTATTTTTGTTTGCTTGTTGCACTTACTGATATCTTTCGCAGAGGGGAACAGGTTGTGAATTTTCTTAGTAGGTAGACAGGCCACCTCACAGGCTGTCAGAATGAGAAAGAGCCACGGTGGGGTTGAGGACTCTCAGCTGCAGTGCCATGATGAGGCTACTTTACCATGAAGAGAGACCTTTTTTGTATTTCTATCCAAGAGCTGCTTTTCCCCAGCACTTCCCCTTGTCTTTTTCCTCCCTGTATGATTCTAAATGTTTGTTTGGAGCCAGCTTATCTTGTTTCCCAGGCTCCTGCATACCCCACTGCCTCTGGACAGTTATTTGCAGGGCTTTGTCCCAGGGCCACGAAGCAACCTTGCTTTCCATCCAGCAGGGATCAGCATGGAGATGTGGATAGGATGATTCTGAATGATCAGTCCCAAATTCAGATTCTTTGTTAGGCTTTTCCAGCAAGAATAGCATGTATTTCTATCCTGTAGGCTATAATTTCTGCCTACTCCAAATTCTTTAATTTCCTGTTTTTCTGGAGCTTCTATAAATTCTTTACTTTTAAAGGATTCTATGATTTCATTCTTTTTATTGAGCTCATTGGGGCTTCTTAGGTATAGAGTACAGTTACATTCATCATTGGGATCTTGTACCTCTATGATTTCATTATTCACAAATACACATGATTTCAGATTTATCATGGGTAAGGTAGGCTGATAGATACAATATAACCAACTAATTTAGTTAAAAAATTCTTTAATGATATCAATGTTAATTAAAAATCATTTAAAACTATGACTTACCTCTTCTTAAAGCTTTTATTTTGATTTCTCTATTGATTTACTAAATCTCCTCCATGAGCAATTACTTCTTCGTGTGAGACGATGTCTGTGTTAATTTTTCTAGGTTTTTGTTTGTAAAAAATATATTGTTGTTGCTACACAATTCTATTAAAAATCTGTGTAATGAAATGTGTATCAACTTGCACAGGATTGGGTTTTTAAATCACAGTTTTACTTTTTTATATGAAAAGCACACACTGGTTTATTTTTTTTCTTTTTGTAACTGATATGTAAAAACAGAAAATATTACTTCTCACTTTGGGATGTATGATGGTTTCATATATGTATGTTAATCTTGAAAGCAGGCAAAACATAATGTATTTTCTCAAGCATGTATCATGCCTTTATCATAAAAACATGGTGACCCTTGTAGCTTTCTGAAATGCATTATGGTTATCCACAGTTCTCCCACTGTGTAGTTAGCACACTGGAACAGACCGCTAGCTAGCTAGAACTCAGTACCCACTCATGAGCTCTCCACATCCCACTGTCCTGTATTCCGGAGCCTCTAGGAGCCAAAGTTCCACTACGATATATTTGAAAATGAGAGAGTTTTCCAGTTCCTGTTAAATTAGCATTTAGCAGAACTAAGTAATATCCAGAGAATATACTGTGTGGAGAATATATTGAAATTTGTTGAGACTTATTTGATGGCTCAGCAGGTGCCCATATTTTTAAGTATTCTGCCTTTGAACAAAAAAAAGTGTGTTCTGCCAGTCATGTTTTCTGTATGTCAAGTTGACTGTTGTGTGTGTATTAATTCCTCCTGGTATTTTTGCACTTTTTTACCAGTACATCTTTGCAGTACATAATGATTCCTTTCCTCATGGGGAGTTGGTATGTTGGCATAGAACATCTTCATTCTTTTTTCATCTCTTTCCCCCACTTTCCTTTCTCCCTATCTCCTTCTCTTGGTTCCTTTCCCTTTTGAAAAAGATCTGTCTCCTATTTCCTATTATCTTTTATTTTGCTTATTTAAATTTTGAGTTTCCCATATAAGAGAAACCATGAAATATTTAAGCTTGTGTGCCTGACTTGTTTCCCTTAACATTATGGCCTGATGCATTTTTTTAATTGCTTTGCCAGTTGCTGTGCAGAAGTGTTAAGATTCAAATGTAAAATTTCCCACTCAAATGTGAATTGGAGTATTACCTCTTCTGGGTCTATTCATGCTAATATATTTCAGTACCATACTGTTGTCTACAAACACATGTAGCATTACTGTGCCTTCCCAGTGAATTAACACTTTCATAATTATGAAATTATTCTGTGTATCTCTAGGATGGCTTTAGCTCCTGAAGAACAAGATACCTATGCTATAACTCTGTGTGTGTTTGTGCTTGTCTAACATTTTTTACTTTCATCTTTTCTGAACCTTATTTAAATCTGCCACATTTAAAAAGTGCATTTTATTTAGTTTTAGTTTTACTTTAGTCTCATCTGTGTGTTTTGATTTTTTTAAAAATTGAACTGAGACCTATTAAAATTTAAAGTAATGGTGTACTTACATAAATCTACAATTATTTAGTTTCCATTTATGTTTCTTCTTTATCATACTTTCAGGAAGTTTTCTGTTTGACAAAATATCTATGTTGCTTATGGTAGAAAGGTTGATCCAAATGTTCTAGCACACTATTACTAGAAAGAGAAGAGGCTATACTTACTCTGCAGTTATTTCCTTCTCAAACTGCACACCTAACTCCTATAGTTATAATTTCATTTGTTGTAAGCCCCAACATTATCTCTAGACCATGTTCCTTTAGATTAGGGCTGTTTGTGAGGCAATGCCAATTTCCACTTTAGTTCCTCTGATATTATGTTCTCTCTGCGCCCCCCTCTCTGATACAGGGAATGGAACCCAGGGACTCATGCCTGCTGAACACGTGCTGTGCCTATGTTGTTCTTCTGAAAACAGAGTTTTAATTCTGATTTTTAGTTCAAGTGTTTATTTTTCATTCTGACGGTACTGCATTGTATCTGAGAGAATGTCTCTGGGCTTTATCTTCTGCTGACTTCACTGAAAAATAATTTCTACAGAGGATGGAGTGAATAAGTGAAACTGACAGTGTCTTCTTACAATTCTACTTCTGAGCCACCTGCCTCAGCCTGAATGACGTAGGCTCATGTTTCTCAATATTCCTTGCAACTGTGCAACAGGGAATCTTGCTACTGGTTTGCCAGTGTCTGTAACGAGAGCAGTAACTGCCCTGCTCTTCAGACTTCTACCTCCTGGTCTTTTGTGAATTCAGATCATTACAAGAGAAATGAATAATTGAGATAGCAAAAGATTGAAGTTATATCCATTTCTTGGTCTAGTAGCTCAAGAAGGAAATGCTACGTAGACCCAGAGATAGTTGTTCGAACCATTCTCTGGGTAGTATAGTCATGGAACTGCTTTTGTACCCATAACAATTCCAATACAAGCAATCAGCAGAAGCACACTTACCTATAGCTCTAGCGATTCTCTCTCCTATGTCTCAACTTCTTAGTTGCTACTGAGAGGAGTATAATTTCGAGACTTCATTTTCTTTCACCTGTTTCATTGCAGGGCTGGATTTTTAAAATGTTGCATTCCTACTCTTCCATCTCCCCAACTTGTGTTCTCTTCTAAGTTCTTCACCCTTCTCTTTCCCATTACTGCAAAAATCACCCTTTCCTTCGAAGAATTCTTGGTGGTGGGAGGCTGTGTCTACCTCACCCTGTATCCTATACATTACCTATTTGTGGATATTAACACAGGCATCACCATCAAAACACATCTTCGTTTCACTGTCCATGATGGATTTTCCAGAAGAATCAGGTTCATTTGGGAGTTGTGCCAAATGAGGAAATAAAGATGGTTCCCTGTGTTGCAGACTTCTCCATTGTTGTGGGGGTGGTCTTCCCAGTGGCAGTCATATTTGTGGTGGGCATTGTCATCATGTGTCACCAAAGTGCCAGAAGACAGCAGAGGAAAGTTCAGAGGTAAGCATTTCTCTAGCTGTGGGATTCTTTAACTTCTCTTTTATTTTAAATTTGAGGATATGACCTAACTTCTCAAATTTAATTTTTGTTTACTTAAAATATTCAGAAATATATGCAAGATACATTTTCTTTGGACTAGAGGCTAGAGTCCCTTTTACTGAGAAATCTTTCACAGCAAGAAATGTGGTTTTTCTTCTGTTACCATATTGCTAATTAATCAAAGTGCCATTAATTCTCATTTGTAATGATTTTTAGATTTATCATAACCCTGGCAGTATGACTACCAATGTGATAAACAGTGTGCTGGACCCTTTTCTATACATTGCTTCAATTAGTTTTTACAAGAACTTTATGAGGTGATTACTTTTTTTGCATTTAGCATCTGATATTCCCATATGTTAGGCACTTCTCTTTGGACTGAGTGGGAATCAGTTCAGGGATTAAGAAATTCATACTTTTGCCAAGTTAGTAATGGAGTTCAGATTTGCATCTAGACTTCTTTCTTGGCCTTGATGCACAGAATCCTTTTATCACTCTTAACACTAATTTACCAGTCCATAATGAGTCTGTAATAAGTATTATGTGATAAAAATGAATGAAATGGCATATTTGGATAAAACTGGTTTGAATGCCATCATTATAGGAAGCAAGGCTCTGTAGTGAATTAAAAAGCAAATGACTAGTCATGATTATGAACCTCAGACAATGATGGTGGCTGACAGGGGACTAAAAGCTGAGGAATGTATGAGGAAACAGATAAAAAAAACAAAAACCAACAGTCAATAACTGGACATGGTGTAGAGGTCACAGGAAGTTGAGATGTTCTATGGAGTTATCCAGCATGCTGAAGGAACTGCTAGGTCGAACTCTAATGACACATTCTCACTTTTAGACCACTGTGTGCCCACGAGGCCAGGATACACAAGCAGAAGGGAAAAGCCCAGAAAATGAGGGCTGTCCAGCCCCAAGAGGTAAATTCGGTTTGGGTTGTGCTCTCGCCAGAGCCCCTGTTGGTGATTTTCTTCACCCTGGTATACTGATCACTCTTGTATACTGATCACTCTTGTATTTTGATCTTGTATCTTTCATTTCTGCCCAGCAGTGTTTTACAAACCTACTTATTAGTGTGTGGCAGGAGTATGGACTTTATAGCCACCTAGGCAGAAAATTCTCCTTCACCTTCACTTTTTGTTAATGAAGAAGAGAATCCCTATAATAAGTGGGGTTTCATTTGATGGGGTCCATGAAATGCAAGGAAATAAGGGGTACAGTAAGGGCAGATGATAGACATCTGTGTCTCCATCTGTCTTCTCTGTTCTGGGCTGATTATTCCTTTGGCAAATTGAGCAACAGAAAAGGTGATGTTTATAGACAATCCTTAATGCCCTTGTCAGATGCTAGAAGTCTAGAAATTTTGGCTACTGCTAATTAATGACAGAAACATTGGTAATCATGTTCCTGATGGGAACTTTTCCTTGTGGTTTTGGAGAAATCTTCTTATAAATGGCCCGGAAGGGCCACTGTCATCTCCTGTCTGGTCTCTTGATATCAGCATGGTTCAAAAGTCCTAAAACTTGAAAGAGCTGCTGATCTGACAACTACATTTAGGCAACAGATAATTTCATACTAATGTATGATTTCTCCCTTTTAGATCAGCCAGATGAAGCTGCATGTGTCTGACCTGCCAGTAGAAGACATTGAACCTCCAGCTTCCATTGTAAGTTATATCAGCTACTCTCTCACATCATTAGAGTCCAGACCAAGGAAGAACAGCACCAGTGGAAGATAGAACCCACGATGCCCAAGCACTTCTGCAGAAGAATGTTGATACTTTGTAGACTATTAATCTAAAATATAAAATCCTTTGGAAAACTCTCTGAAAATATAGTGTAAGAACCACATTAACTATATTAATATATACCTCTCTCTCTATTTTACTCTGAAATTTAGCCCCTAAATCTGAACTGGGAAATTGATATTACAAAAATAGCAAATTTCTTCATAGAGTATCATAGTTAATTCAAGTGGTTATAACAAAAATAGCATGGACTGAGTAGTTTAAACAACTAATATTTATTTCTTTACTGTTTGGGAAGGCCAAGATCGAGGTACTGATATCTGGAAGGTCTTGCTTCCTATTTATGAACAGGTACCTTCACCCTGTGTGAGAAAGATTGTTTTTATGTGTCTTTTATTATAAGTGTATAATTCCTATCCTGAGAGTTCCACCCTCAAGACTTAAATACCTCCCAAAGGTCTCACTTCCAAATACCATCATAGTGGGTATTGCAGTTTCAAAATATGAATTTTGGGAGAGACACATTCCCTCCGAAGTAGCCATCTTCATTAGTGACATGTTCACGGCACCAGGCCTGTGTCTGACTTGTATGTGTGTACCTAAGAGGAGAGCCCTCCAGTCACAGATTTAGAATATTCTCATGTGCAAGGTTAGAAATCCCTCCTGAAAATGATTTAAACCTTTTCATTAGGCAAATCTGCTCTCAGAAGCCTATCTTTGAATTAATTCTTTTTTTAAAATTCTTACTAGCTAATTCCAAAGCCTGATTTCCCACCGCCGCCGATTCCTACATCTGTATCTTCTTCCTCTTTCCTTGTAAGTATTATTTGGTCACTGGTAGTTTTCTGAATGTCTCTCGAGGCCACTGAGAACATTGTTCCAAAATTGTTCTGTATCAGAGCATGTGATTCTGAGACTGATCTTATGTATCATAGCACTTTCTCCCAGCAGAGTTTAAAACATGAGACCCTCTTGTTATCTATACATTCATGTGAGTATTGAATTATTTATATGAATAAGCTTCCGTGATTTTATGATTTGAGAAATGAGTAAACTTCTGTTGTGTAACATATCTTTTTTGAAGGATTGTTTCTAGCTGCTTATTCTAGAGGGTATACAATTTTATTATAAATGATATCTACTATCATTTTATTATAAATAGCATTAAGCTCATTGTTATTACAGTTTTTCTGTAAGATACAGAATATGAAAGGAGAAAAATCGCATACAGTCAAGCTTACAATAAAAGTCAGGTGTTCATGAATTAAAAAGTAGAACTCATTCACTCATCAAATTGTTTCCGAGCATATTTCCTCATGCTTGGAACTCTGTTGTAAATAGATGAGAAAAAGTGAATACTGAAATTCTCTTTTAAAGGAAATTGCACATCTTTAGTGGGAAAATTTCAGATTTTTAGTCACATACATATGGAATTTAAATAAGTGAAGAGGATGTAATGAATAACTTAATGGAAGAAATGTACTTGCTAAAATGGGAAGAGCATAGGATTTTTAATGATCTGCCATTGTACTTTTATCTACCTTAGCATAAGGACACAAAAGCACTCCCTTCTACTCTTACCAAAGATGAGCCATCGGCTACCCCTAAGGTAAGAGATCCATATCTCTATCGCTTTGTAGCACTCCTAGCATGGAGAAGAAATGCTCCACCTGCCTCTTCTTGGAAGAAGCTCACTAGAAACAGTATTTGTTGACTGCAGGGTGGAGCTGAGGTGAATGTTTTGCTTCTGAGTTTGGCTAATGATCCTGATAATCAGGAGAAGAGAAGTGGAGAAATATGGTGACCTCAAAATTTGTCACATTCTCAGAAATGGGAACAGTAGGAAAGGATGTAATCTCCCAGAGAAGACTCGGGGGGGAGGGCCTCCACTCTCCCACTGGTTCCCTTTCCTGTCCTATTATGGCAAATAAGTTGCCTAGATGAATATTTGGGTGCTAGTGCGATATTTCCTACCTTACATTTCCACTCTGTGGTATTTCTACTTCTTCATTGCTAACTTATAAATAACTTGTAAGAAAGAAAAAATGATTTCAGAAAACCGGTTTTAATTTTTTATTAATTCCATGTGATAAGTCTATATAAGATATCTAAACATGTAAGGAAAAATGAACATTTAAGAACTTTGTCTTTTCTTTAGGACTCAAACCCAAAAGTCTGAAGCATCAGCTGTGCAAAGACTGATGGCCAGATGATCCAATTGGAAAAACTGGATGGAAGAGGACTAAACTTACTTATTTCTCTAGGTGCTCTTGACACTCAAAGTTGAGTCAACATATCTTGATTTTGTAAGAGCTTAAATAAATATTTTGAGAGGCATACTCAAAAAATTTTGCATTAATTCAAAATTTATTTTCTTCACACTTATGAGAAGGAGGGTAACTCTGAAGAGATGTCTATGAACTTTATATTTCTAATCAGCTCATTTTTCCTTAATTCTCCTTTTTATTATGATGTTGCCTAATTATGCAAATATTTTGAACACCTTGATTTGCTGATTTGATAGGAATTAATACTCTTGAATAAAAACAAAGCAAAAGAAATTTCACAGGAAACTGGGAGGGATGTGGTGAAAAACATATGTTTATCATTGAGTAACAATATGTTGATTGTTTTAATTGTTAATGTGTCAAAACCAAAATCCTTAGGAAGAAAATTATGTAAACATCTTCTCTCCTATATAGTGTACCACTTTCTTATATGGTCACCTGAGATTTTTATTAACTTTGTCTTTTGTTGTTTTCTACAAATGAGTAAAAACTTTTAAAAATAATATTTTGTCATACATTTTTGTGTAATTCAATTACTGGCACTGTTAAGTTAATCTTTACTTTCTAAAAAGAGGTTCTAGTCAAATAAATTTACAGCATGAACAAGTGGTTACAATCCTACAGGCCACATTTGGATTGCAAATGGATTTAGTTAAGCCTAAAAGATGTTGGCCACAATTTTAAATGTTTTGAATTTATTGCCAGTATTTATTTATTTATTTATTTATTTATTTATTTATTTATTTATTTATTTATTTATTTATTTATTGAGACAGGGTCTCAGTATATAGTTGAGACTGACCTGGAACTCACTATGTAGCCCAGGCTGGTCTTGAACTCACAGCGATCCTTCTGCCTCAGCCTCCAGAGTGCTGGGAATTGCCAGAATTTCAAAGTTGAGCATAAACTTTAAATTCCCAGTCTTTAAAGGAATAGTTGGACAGTTTATCAACCCTAAAATCATATCAGCCACAAAACCACAGCTTAGTCTAATGATGGAGCAAATACTGTTGACTGTAAACCAAGAATGTCCTGTCTCCTTTTCTTTTTTGGAACTTCAATTTTGTCCAGCTGTCCACTTCCAGGAAAAATTATCCTAACTCCCTCACATAGATAAAGCCAATCCCTCTAATCCGATCACAATGACCTCGCTTACTTTGCCAGTGGTTGATCTGGAAGTAAATGTCTAACTCCCCCTTTCCCATGAGACAAGTGAGGAGCTACCTTTGAAGTATTTCCTGGTCTTTTCTTGCTGCTGTTCGTATCCAGTATTGCTGCAGCTGTGCTGTGATTATGAAGACAAGTAGGACACACTGCATCCGATACAGCAGAGACACTAAAGGAGTAAAACTTGGACTCATTGATAGTGTCGTCAAACTGCTAGATTAATAATTGCTGAAGTCGCCCCACACTGTGTTGGTGCTTTTTCTAAAAGGACCAATACGATTTCCTTATTGTTCAGACCATTTTGAGTTGGGGTTTCTCTCCTTTGCAACAGGAGTTTTGCTAATGAGAAAGGTAGCATCTTCCTTTTTCAGGCTGACTGCTTTCCATGTCATTGTCACTGCCATGTTTTCCTTATACTTGGTCAGTTTCATCCATTTCCATCACTTACTGCCACATCAGGGGCTTTGTTCTGTTTTTTCCTTCAGGAAATTTGCCCAGGAAGAAGTCCATTTATCCTTGTAATATAGGAATCTAAATAAACTTATTCTGGTCTCAAAAATGAAGGTCAGCCCTCAGCAAGTCCACTTGTCAAACATTTTCTATTTCTGGAACCTTTTCTTCTACTTGGGTCTAACACAAAAACAGTGTAAAAGGTAGAGTTGAACCTGCAATGTGAGATTATAGTACACCCTGTCCCGACCCAGAGATAAATCCCTATTTCTAAAAGCCATAATCTACACTTGAGCAACTCTTTGCTGAGTTTTTGTTTGTTCTTTATTTTAATACGTGTTCCTAGCCACAAATTCACTTTATCCTTTTAATACTGACAAAGTAGAAATGTTGGCCCTATGAGTCCTTAACAACCCACCAACCCTAGCCAGAGCTAGAAATAAAGCATATACTCTCAAAGAGTGGTCTTCAAATGTTCCAGCAGGTTTCTAAATGATTCCACAGTGTTCTTGACAGAGGCATTTTAGGTCCCTACAATGACAGGCAACCTAGGGACCATAGCAGGAAGGCCATTCTCTTAGCATATCCTGCTCTGCAATTCCTCCCTTGGAGCTGAAGGACACTGAGGGATAGTTTAAACAGTTTAGAGCTCACTGACTTCACAGTTTAGGTCCCAGTCTAAGATCTGCAACAGACTGTGTACAAATTCCATCATTTGTCCTTGAACCAGCTCAGTTATTCCACCAAACTTAGTTATCTTTTACCCTCTGTATATCTTTAAACAGATCCAATTATGTCCTTATCCAGGCGCACTGTGATAAGGCACCATGTGGCTGCTCTAAGCATGTCTTAGCACCTCACAAAGTTATTGCCTTTCTATGCATTTTGAAAATGCTTTAAAATTTGCACGAAGTGATGTATGCATGGAAGGGAAAGCAAAATTTTGGATACACAGATGATATAGAAATGGATTTATTAATATTAATATTTCAAGTTTTTGCATAAGCATATATTTGCATATCCTAATAAATGCATTCATCGTGGAGAATTGGCACATATACAGAGTGTGTATTGATCTTTTTTTTTTTTTTTTAACT